AAAAAAAAAAAATGGCCCCCAGCTAAAGGTTAGCTAAAGCTACAGCCAAATAGTCTGAGCTACCAGATGGTTGAATTATTATATTGAACAGAGGTCAAATTCAAATGTTGGTCTAAACATGAACTCTTTAGCGCCACCTGAGGGCAGTTACTGAGCCCAGCTTCAGATTCTCAACCATCTAATTGAATAAAGTCGTACAGAGAGAAATTCCTGCCCCTGCTTTTAATATTAGCTCCATTTAATCAACAACATTTGTCCGTTCGTCTCATTGTTGGACGCAGGAGTGAGAAGCTGCTGCAGTCTGTGAAGGTTCTGAAGTGTGGAGCTGAATTAGAGGAGAAAAAAAGTCCAAAACAATAAAGTCTTGAAAAACGTCCCTTAGACCCTGAGGGACACCAACATCACACCGAGGAAGACGGAGGTCCAGACCGGACGTTGGACAGAAACCTGGGTCAGATCTGAGCTGCAGGTCGAAGAAAAACCTCAGACGAACCAAAAGGAAACGCCTGACCTCTGACCCCTGACCCCTGACCCCCGGGTTAAAACAAGTGTTTAAAGTGGTCAGAGGACGAAGAAGTCCTACCTAAACTCCAGTGGATTTCCAGAGGTGAACTCAGAGGTGGACCAACAGCTGCTAAAATCACTGGTTTTCTCTATGAGGTTTGGTATGGGAGACTGAGCCTGCAGATACACTGGTGGTCACAGCAGATCCTCTCATCTTGTTTCAGGGTTCGGAGTTCTTCACACAGGTGTTTCAGTCGTTACACTGCAGCCGGCCACAAGGTGGCGCTCCATATGCACAGTAACGGTGCTGTTGTCCTTTTGCACTTGTAGCACGTGGAAGCAGCAGGAAGTTGACCTGAGCGACCAAAGGCACTGAAACGTTCTCATCTGGACTGTTTATGTTCAACATAGCGTGTTTGCATGAATCACGCGGTTGTGGAACATCTGGTAATGGTTAAATCAACACACCGACACATTAAAGTCGTTGTTCAGACGTTTGTTTCGACAACGTCGTCTTTCTTTCATCTGCCGTCCAACACATGTTGATGTTAAGACAACAAATATTTACAGTTTCCCTTCATTTCTTTCATGTTGGCACAGACGCCTTCAGAGTTCTGCTCCGTCACAACAAAGGACCAATCAGATCAAACCCCTTCAACTTTACCACGAGACGCAAATATCAGAACACATTTGTTAAAGACAGCTGAAAAAAGACAACGTTAAGGCAAACGTGAAAATAACAAAAAAGTAGTTTGTCAGCATACGCTGCTTCAGTTCTAGAGTGGTAAAAAGACCAAACCTCATAGAGAAAATCAGAGATTTTAGCCTCTGTAACAGCTGCTGCCTCCATCACTGATTGTATTTTGTGAGTTCACTGTTTTGAAATAATCTGTTCAGACTTACAATAGTTGCTAAGATGATGTGATTTGGTCACTATTGTAAGTCTAAAACTATGTTTTACACAAAGTTTCCACAGTGGTGTGCTAAGATGTGGGGGGGGGGAAGGGGGGGTTAAATTATCCAGGGAACCTCACGTGGAAAAGTTCCTAATTTACTGAGAAAACTCTGAGAGTTCTCCGAGTGGATCAGCACCAACAGCAGGAGTGGATCTGAAGGTCTGAGCAGCGGTGGAAAGGTCTGCTGCTTCATCAGGATCCATGAGGTCGTCTGTAAATCAGCTGAGTCATGGTCTAAACCTGGGCTGAGTCAGTGGAGCTGGAAGTCATTACGACATGGAGTTTCCACTCCAGACTCACACCGTCAGAGGCCAGGCATTCAGATATGTAACATTCATACCAAGGGATCAGAGCACGGACAAACCACTGTCCCTCACCAAACCTCAGAGAGAAAATCAGAGATTTTAGTTCACACCAAACCTCAGAGAGAAAATCAGAGATTTTCTCTCTGAGGTTTGGTCTGACCCTTTTTTTGGAGTGATCCTGATTTTTGTTCATTTAAAAAAACAAAACCCATTTTCAGTTTGGCCTGTAGAGCAGAGAGGATTCTGACCTGAACTTCACCTGGTCCAGACACCATCAGCCCTCACTGGTACTGATTTAACCATTTACAGTTTGACTGAAAAAAACACTCCCTGTACCAAGTGTTTGTTAAAGCTGTGATTGACTGTGACTGTGGGGGGTGGGAGGGGGGCTCCTCCTCCTCCTCTTCCTCTGATGTCCTCATGTGAGGGGTGAAGGCAGTGATTCCTCCCTGACTTCAGGCCTCTTGTCTCTCCCTCCCTCCCTTTGATGGCTTCTCTGTTGTTCCTGGACTCCTATTGGCTGACTCTGTGTTCTCACACCCCCTCATGTATGTTTGGAGGTGGTGAACCTGGAGCTCAAGGTTCAAATTACTTTTTTTTTTTCTTTTTCCAACTTTCAGTAGAACATTGGCTGTTTTAAAGAAGGATCTTTTTTCTGTAGTCAATCCTCGATGAAGGAAAACTCAAACGTCTCCGTTCTCTGAGGAACATGAAGGAACAGAGTTCTAGAACGATGAACCTGAAACTGAACGCTTTGGCAACGAAGCAGTGACCTTGAATACCTGTCAAATGTGTCAGCTGCAGGTTCAAATCTGACCACAAGAGGGCAGGAAAAGGTTCCATTTGAACGTGTTTCTGTCAAACACAAACATCAAAAATATTAAATATTTCAATATATGAATATATAATGAGTTTAAAAGAATATTGTCCAAATGACCAGAGTCATCATCTTCTAACGGAGCAGCTGCAGAGAAATGAGTGAAATGAAGAAGTCGTAAATTCATGTCGTAAATGCACAGCACGGACCTCAAAGCTCGTGCACGTGGACGACGCAAGCACTTTTTCTGTGTTGGCTGTTGGTCAGAGGAGGAATGACACGTGCAGAGTGGTAGAGTTTTGACGGGACGTTCAGATGATTTGCGTGTTCTGGACGTCTTCTCCTCCTCCTGCTTCTCCTCCTCAAAGCTCTGATCCTGAAGAACTGCAAATCCTCAGAGAAGGAGAATTTTCCGAGGAGGTTCTGATGGTTATGTCGGTGCTGACAGAATTATGTTCTGAGAGGCTTTAAGTTGTGACAGCTCACTTGGAGCGTCCAGACGAACCAGAACTTTTTCACTGTCTCTGTCTGCTCCTGAAATAGTCACTGTTTGGAACTCTTTCCTTCACTGGAATGTTAGAAATCAGTTCTAGTCCCAGAATAATGTCGGGACTCCAGAGACAGTTCACACAGACAACCACAAGGTGTCTCCAACAAGGTGAGGATTTGTTTCTGACAAAATGAAGTCAGAAATGATGTCAAAGGAAGTATTGATGTTTCTGACTCTAATTAGTCTAAAAACAATGACTGGGACTAACGAGACTTCTCCAGTAGGGGTCAGTGGTGTCCGTCTCTCCAGTGCCTGCAGCAGGGTTTGGTGGTACTGATGAAGGGGCTGATGGGTAATGGCCCACTCTGATATCATTTTCCTTCATTTTCTGTGAGCAGGGAGGAGGGGGGAGGATCGGGGGAGATTTTCCACTACCACACTTCACCTCACGGCGACCGCGTCTGGAAACATGATATCTACAAGAAAAAGAAAAAAAGAAGGTTTTCAGTCTGAGGAGCAGAGAGGAGTGAAGTCACTGACACTATCTCTGTCTGAGCCATCATCACACCTACACCGCCCCTGGTGGCTGAGCAGGAGGTGTTCACCAGTTTGACTCTGACCTGAGAGTATCTGCTGGTCCACTGCTGCCCCCTGTGGTCATGTTATGAAGCTCTGATGAAACGGTGTGAGGAGCAACACTTCAGCTGGTCCAGGCTCCCAACGTACGACTTCCATTAAGAAGAGATTGATTCCAGCAGCAGACGCTGTGTGTGTGTGTGTGTGATTAACGTGGTGCAGCAGAGACACAAACACATGAGTCCTCCTCTGTGGAATGTCCCTCATTTATTCACTGACATCATTTATTGACACTTTGTGAGTCGCAGTAAACCAGCAGCCCTGTTGTCTCCACAGATGTCTTCAAACACAGCACGATGGAGCGACACCTGATGGTCAAACTGAGGATGACAACAAAGACTGACAAGATGAGGTGTTTGAAGGTGAGCTAATGTTATGGTACAGACACCAGAGCTAACATTAGCTACTACAGTCCTGGAACAGACACCGGAGCTAACGTTAGCTACAACAGTCCTGATACAGACACCAGAGCTAACATTAGCTACTACAGTCCTGGAACAGACACCGGAGCTAACGTTAGCTACAACAGTCCTGGTACAGACCCCAGAGCTAACGTTAGCTACAACAGCCCTGGTACAGACACCAGAGCTAACGTTGTCTACAACAGTCCTGGTACAGACACCAGAGCTAACGCTAGCTACAAATGTACTGGTTCTGATTCAGTAACTAAGTTAAAATGTGTTTGTTTGAAATACTTTTTTTAGATTGAACTCAGTGACACAAGCTGACCACAGGAGGCAGCAGTGGACCGGCAGCGCCCTTGGTCTCTGTGAGGTAAAATCAGTGATTTTCTCTATGAGGTTTGGTCTGGCAGAGTGGTTTCACTAACTCCAGTTTCCTGTTTAAAAACTCTGTCTGACACTGAGTCAAAGTCTTGAACATTTATTTCAAACGTCGTAGACTGAACATCGGGTGTTTTATCAACACATTTGTACAAAAGTTGATGAAATAGTCCGACAAACGGTGAACTAGTAAATCCTCAGATTTAAGAGCTGGTTTTTCAGAACTTTTATTTCCATAAATGACACATGTTTTCCTTGAAACAAAAGAATGAGATTCATCAAAGTAAAATCTTAAATCTGGAGCCTCAGCACCCCCCCCCCCCCCCCCCCCCCGTCCTGAAAGACTTATTTGGACGTCAGCTGTCAGACCTAAACATTGACACACACACACACACACACACAGTGGAGCAGGCTGATCACGACCCCTGTGACTCTTTATGACCTGTGAACACAGGTGGCGCTGTTGTCCCTCAGTGTAGAGATGGACCTGAACCTTGAAGCTGAGGATAATAATGATTAAAATACAGAACCTCTGCAGGTCACAGCAGGGCCAGACACCAGGTCAAAGGTCAAACCCGTAGCTAGAATACATTTAAAGGAAAAATATAAAAAAGTAAAATATATTAAGTACCAGCAGTCACCAGGTGAGGGCGGGGTTGCAGCCGGGACAGTTCAGAAATGTCATTAAAATGGAACAATAGTTCTGAAAAGATGGCTAAAGTTTATTAGCTAAACGTTAGCACAACCGTAGGCCTCCAAGAAGTTTAACTTTACTGAGCTGGGAATTGAACCACTGACCTTCTTTCAGAGGGCAACAGCACCAACCACTGTGCCACCGTGTGGTCGAGGTCTGGATTAAAAGTAAAGACCCAAAAAAGAGCCTCAAACAGAGAATGTTTTTCATTAGTTGGACAAATGTTGGCGCTCACGCTGAGATTTCTTCTCCCTGTGAGATGGACGGCGCTCCCACCGCCTCAAACCACTTTCTGTGAATCGTAAAGTTCGGACATTTTGAACCCAGATGCAGGAATTTACAGCCTCGTTAGACGTTTCTTTCTTCAGGAGTCAGATTTCTTCTTCATGTGTCCGATCGGTGCAGAGAGGACGTCAACGCTCCTCGGTGCGTTTCAGTCACGAGTGGACCAACCGCGGGTTAAGGACCGACCCCAGGGTCAGAGGTCACAGGACCATAAATCGTCTGAGATACAACAGAGAGAGCCATCGTTGACCTTCACAGCTGCAGCTGAAGAGTCCAAACGTCTGCCAGAGAAGAAGAAGAGTGGAGCTAACAGCAGCTTCACCTGCAGCGACTCAAACTGAAAACCTCGCTGGAATCGGACCAACATCAGCCCCAAGAGTTCAAAAAAAAAAAAAAAGGCCCCCAGCTAAAGGTTAGCTAAAGCTACAGCCAAATAGTCTGAGCTACCAGATGGTTGAATTATTATATTGAACAGAGGTCAAATTCAAATGTTGGTCTAAACATGAACTCTTTAGCGCCACCTGAGGGCAGTTACTGAGCCCAGCTTCAGATTCTCAACCATCTAATTGAATAAAGTCGTACAGAGAGAAATTCCTGCCCCTGCTTTTAATATTAGCTCCATTTAATCAACAACATTTGTCCGTTCGTCTCATTGTTGGACGCAGGAGTGAGAAGCTGCTGCAGTCTGTGAAGGTTCTGAAGTGTGGAGCTGAATTAGAGGAGAAAAAAAGTCCAAAACAATAAAGTCTTGAAAAACGTCCCTTAGACCCTGAGGGACACCAACATCACACCGAGGAAGACGGAGGTCCAGACCGGACGTTGGACAGAAACCTGGGTCAGATCTGAGCTGCAGGTCGAAGAAAAACCTCAGACGAACCAAAAGGAAACGCCTGACCTCTGACCCCTGACCCCCGGGTTAAAACAAGTGTTTAAAGTGGTCAGAGGACGAAGAAGTCCTACCTAAACTCCAGTGGATTTCCAGAGGTGAACTCAGAGGTGGACCAACAGCTGCTAAAATCACTGGTTTTCTCTATGAGGTTTGGTATGGGAGACTGAGCCTGCAGATACACTGGTGGTCACAGCAGATCCTCTCATCTTGTTTCAGGGTTCGGAGTTCTTCACACAGGTGTTTCAGTCGTTACACTGCAGCCGGCCACAAGGTGGTGCTCCATATGCACAGTAACGGTGCTGTTGTCCTTTTGCACTTGTAGCACGTGGAAGCAGCAGGAAGTTGACCTGAGCGACCAAAGGCACTGAAACGTTCTCATCTGGACTGTTTATGTTCAACATAGCGTGTTTGCATGAATCACGCGGTTGTGGAACATCTGGTAATGGTTAAATCAACACACCGACACATTAAAGTCGTTGTTCAGACGTTTGTTTCGACAACGTCGTCTTTCTTTCATCTGCCGTCCAACACATGTTGATGTTAAGACAACAAATATTTACAGTTTCCCTTCATTTCTTTCATGTTGGCACAGACGCCTTCAGAGTTCTGCTCCGTCAGAGTCGCAGTCGGAGAAAATCGTTGTTTTCTCTCTGCTTCAGTTTGGGTTATCGTGTTTAGCAACTTAACTCTAGCTAATACGTGTGTGTGTGTGTGTGTGTGTGTGTGTGTGCGTGTGCTCAACTTGCTGAGTGCTTTTTCCGCTGCTCATTTTAATCAGAGAGGAAATGTTTTTCCCTGTGACTCATTGGAAAACCTGATGTCAATTAGAGTTCACTCTGCTGAGTCAGCACCTCAGGTTTAGCCACAGACTGGACCGTGGACCCAGAGCCAACGCTGTGTCATGGTGGACGGCGTTGGAGACAGTTATTAATGTAGATGAACACAGTGTTTACACCTGCACGTGTGTGTGTGTGTGTGTGTGTGTGTGTGTCCTCCTGTCCAGCTGACGTCCCACACTTTCTTCTAACTGCTGCTCAGTGTTAGTCTGACGTGACCTCGTGACCTCGTGACCACGTGACCTCGTGACCATTGGATGTTGGTGATGTTGAAACGTGACACTTGTTGTTAATGTTCAGGAAAAGAAAACTGATGGAGTTGGTTGGAAAATAAACAACAACAACAAGCGAAGCTGTCGGCCATTTTTATTTAGTAAAAGTCGCTCCTGGTCTGTAGAGTTCAGGTCTGTAGACCTGTCTGGTACAGACTGACGCAGACTCAAACAGGAAGTACAGACTTCACCAGAAACACAGAGGAATTGAAAGAGACCCAGAACCCGGGGTACACGGGTCCGGAGAACTTGGTGCTGAAGGTGTGGAGGTGGAGCAGTGAGTCAGAGGAGACTCTGTAGAAGGACACGGTCCCAGCAGGAACGTCCACAAACACTGAGACTCTGTGGGAGACCACGGGCGAGTGGACGTAGGTCTCTTTCTTGGCGTGACGGACTGAGTAACCACGAACATCTGAGCAGCTCAGACTCCACGACTGATGACTGTGGCTGAAGGAACTCTCCGGACCTTTTCCTTTGCGTCTGATTTCTCCGCAGCTCACCGACACCAGAACATCTCCGCTCCACCGCAGCTCCCAGGAACAGCGACCGGTCAGGGCCGGTCTACACAGTACCTGAGGCCAGTGGTCAAACCTGTGCGGATGGTCAGGATGGGCCAGAGCTCTGGCCACGTTGGTCACCGACCTGCTGTCCTCGGACAGCTTCAGGTACTTGTTCACAGTGTTTGAGTCCAGCTCCAGTTCATATGAATCTGACGGAGACAAGAAGACACAGCTGATTGGTTATTGACTGGTGTGATGTCATTTCCTGTGCTAACCAACACTTACACTTCCTGACTCCTGGTAGTAACCTCTGTGGTCCACTGTGGTCCAACCTGGAAGAAGAAGACTATGAATGCTTTGTGTCCACTACAAGTTGAAAAACCAGGAGAAGAACCTGAGAATACCTGAGGGTCTCCAGCCTCCAGTGTGGACCATTCAGGCCATCAGACAGGACCTTCTGTCCGGAGTGTCCTGGATGGTTGTAGCTCAGGTCCAGTTCTCTCAGGTGACTGGGGTTGGAGCTCAGAGCTGAGGCCAGAGAAGAACAACCTTTGTGGGTGACCAGACAACCTGAGAGACTGGAGTGAGAAGTTGTGGTTTAGACCTTCACCTCAACGTCATGGCCTGAAGTCAACAAACCCAATCCTGACCTGAGGGTCTCCAGACAACAATGAGGACTCTTCAGTCCAGCACACAGCTTCTCCACTCCAGAGTCCATCAGGTGGTTGTTGCTCAGGTCCAGGTGTCTCAGACTGGAGGACTGTGATCTCAGGACGGAGGACAGGTTTTCACAGCTTCTCTCTGAGAGGTTACAGTCCCTCAACCTGAGGATGGAAACAGTGAGAAAAGGTTGAAGAAGTTTCTTCAGGACACGTCTCCACCTGTCTCCACCTGTCTCCACCTACACAGCCGTGGTGGAGGCCTTGACCACCAGCAGCAGCCTCAGAAGAGCCTCCTCTGAAGCTGAGAACTTCTTCAGGTCAAACACCTCCAGATCTTTTCCTGATGACAATAAGATGAAGACCAGCGCTGACCACTGAGCAGGAGACATCTTCTCTGTGGACAGACATCCAGACCTCAGAGACTGCTGTATGTCCTCCACCAGAGAACCGTCCTTCAGTTCATTCAGACAGTGGAACAGGTTGATGCTCCTCTCTGCAGACAGGTTCCTGCCAATCTTCTTCTTGATGTACTCAGCTGTCTTCTGGTTGGTCTCTGAAGAACATCCTGTTGGTGTCAGCACTTCTCGTAGCAACCTCTGATTGTCCCCCAGTGACAGACCCAGGAGGAAGCGGAGGAACAGATCCAGGTGTCCATTAGGACTCAGTAAGGCCTTGTCCACAGCACTGCGGTGCAGATGTCTCAGCTCAGGTTTGTCTCTGAACAGTTTGGGTACCAAGGATCTCGGTGGTTGCTCCATCAAGGATCTTGGTGGTTGCTCCACCAACAGGTTGACTCCAGACTTGATGAAGGTCAGAAGGACATGGAGAGCAGCCAAAAACTCCTGGACACTTAGATGGACAAAGCAGAAAACCTTGTCCTGGAACAGACCTCGCTCCTCTCTGAAGACCTGGGTGAAGACTCCAGAGTACACCGAGGCCTCTTTGATGTCCACTCCACAGTCCTTCAGGTCTGAGTGGTAGAAGATCAGGTTTCCTCTCTGCAGCTGCTCAAAGGCCAGTTTCCCCAGAGTCTGGATCATCTTCATGTTCTCTGGACTCCAGTGAGGATCTGCTGCAGATCTTTCATGGTACTTGACATTAATCAGTTTGGACTGGATCACCAGGAAGTAGACGTACATCTCCGTCAGGGTCTTGGGCAGCTCCTCTGCTCCTCCCCCTCTGGTCCTCACCACGTCTTCCAGAACGGTGGCAGTGATCCAGCAGAAGACCGGGATGTGACACATGATGTGGAGGCTTCTAGAAGCCTGGATGTGGGAGATGATCTTGTTGGCCTGCTCCTCATCCCTGAACCTCCTTCTAAAGTACTCCTCTTTCTGAACATCCGTGAACCCTCTGACCTCGGTCACCACGTCAACCAGGTCTAGAGGGATCTGATCGGCCGCTGCAGGTCTGGAGGTGATCCAGAGACGAGCAGAAGGAAGCAGGTTTCCTCTGATGAGGTTGGTCAGCAGGACCTGCACTGAGGTGGACTCTGTGACATCCGTCAGGACCTCAGTCCCGTGGAGGTCCAGAGGAAGTCGACACTCATCCAGACCATCAAAGATGAAAATCACCTTAAACTGGTCAAAGCTGCAGATCCCGGTGTCTTTGGTTTCAGTGAAGAAGTGATGGATCAGTTCCATCAGGCTGAACTTCTTCTCTTTCACCACGTTCAGTTCCCTGAAGCTGAAGGGAAAGATGAAGTGGACGTCCTGGTGGGCTCTGTCCTCAGCCCAGTCCAGGGTGAACTTCTGAGTAAGGACAGTTTTCCCAATGCCGGCCACGCCCCTTGTCATCACTGTTCTGACTGGTCCAGGTCTTCCAGGGGCGGTCTTGAAGAGGTCTTCGTGTCTCATGGGTTCTTCAGGTCTGTGTGGTTTTAAAGAAGCTGTTTCAATCTGTCTGACCTCGTGTTCATTGTTGACCTCTGCGGCCCCGCCCTCGGTGAGGTGCAGCTCTGTGAAGACCTGGTTCAGGAGGGTTGGGTTTCCTGTCTGGGCCACACCTTCAAACAAGTGTTGGAACTTGTTCTTCAGCGTTGATTTGAGTTGTCGTTGCTGAGCCGGAGCTCTGGTTCCTGAATGAACAAAGAAAGTTTTCAGTCGTTAAGATGTTCTCATCCATTTCCACTTCCTTTCACAGTAAAATGTTCTTACTGATCCCCAGATGGTCAACCAACTTGTCCTGCTTCATCGTCCTCAGGAAGTTCTCAGTGATCTTCAGAAAGGCCTCTCTGTTGCTCCTCCTCTGCTCCTCATCCTCACCTTCAGACACCTCCTCGTCTTCTCTCTGACTCTCTGAACTTTTAAGGTAATCTGGTCCCAGAACCTTCTGGATCTTCTTCAGCTCATTCTTCACAAATGTGATGATGTTCTCCTCCAGCAGCTGGAGCAGATGATCAGGTGAAGTTGACCTCTGGCTCTGTCACCTGTCTACAGAGGATCTTGTTCAGTCACATACCTTAAATATGGGATGCAGGTCCACTGCCTCCTGCTGGACACATGGACCGCTGAGAACCTCCGTCGTCTTCTGAACAGAGCTGTGGGGGAAAACAGCAGTAAGAAGGAGGAGAATGGATGTTCTTCACCCTGGGTCGTCCAGGTCAAGACGAGAACCTCAGAACAAAGACGCTGGCCCGTCAGTCTGGTCTTCATGTTGGACATCAGAAGTCCATCTTACCTCCCACCATCTTTGAAGGTTTCGATCAGGTCCATAGAAGTGTCGCTCCTCAGGCTGGTTCTCTCATGTTGTTTCCTAATAAATACAAATGTTAAAGTTGATTCTTTGTGGTCATGGTCTGTTGATGGTCATGGTCTGTTGATGGTCATGGTCTGTTGATGGTCATGGTCTGTTGACATTAAGAAGCCTTTTCTGACCTTTGACCTTCTCCAAAAGTCACAGTGAGATCCTTGGAGGCATCAGTCTTTATGGACACACAGCTGGGATTCGGCTCAGATTTGGACCCTGAGAATCTGTGATACAGACAAATAAACTACAGGAGGTCAAATACGGCTGACCTTTGGGTCTAGGACTGGACGAGGATCTCAAACCAGGATCTTTACCTCTGCTCAGTTTGTCTCCCAGATCCTTCAAAGTTAATGATATGCTCATTGGAGCGGCCACTTGCTACAGACACGTGGCTGAGTTCAGGTCCAGGTTC